TAATGCTCAGATAAGCAGATATTTTATGCAAATAAATTTCAAAAACCATTGTATCTGAAAGCAAATGTGATCAGAACAATAATCTTTATTTGATTTAATAAAGCCGTTATAAAAAAGAACGGTAAAGAAAGAGAAAACACATTTATTATTTATGGAATGTTGCCAATAAAATTTTGTAAATATGAGAAATAACAGAAAAGATATTCTTCGAATAGGTTTCTCAAGAGTAGTTGATTGTCACTATTCTGTTGTCTAACTCGCAAAATAAGATACTAATTTTTATTATAATTTACTAAAATTTCTAAGGCCAATGAATCTGTACCGAAAGGTTGGAGAATACCAAAGAGATTAGAATAGATGGAGTAAGCATGACATCACAAAAGTGAAGCCTAGGAAATATCAACAATGTGACGTCACGACTTATCATGTAGTAGTATATATAAGATTACGAAACTATTATTGCTAAATAAAATTGCACTAATTTTGAGAGCAAATATCAACGTACTCAGGCTTAGAAAGGTGTTTATAGGCATAATTTATATAAAATACCATTAAAACTTTCACTGGTCTAGGCTTTACCATACATACATTTTTGTTATGGTCACCATTTACAAATTTTCATGTACCTAGATCTTATTAAATTTGAAACAATTGTTTGCAGTCTTTGTGACTTTTCTATATACTAAGTAGAAATTCACTTGTATTAAGTATTAGCAAAATTAGAACGGGAGACTTATAAATGCTCATTGATGAGCAGTTAACACGTTAGACAACAACGATTAGATTGTAAGGAAAACCGAGAAGTCCGCTATGGGAGCCGCCATAAATCGTGACGTCACACAGTGACGTTTCATGGCTTCAATTTCATTGCACAGGACATACGAGGGAGACGTACTCCACATATTCTAACTTCTTTTATAGGCTACAGAAATTGTAAAACAGGAGTTGTATATCTTATAAATGCAGTTGTGAATAAACTAAATGGAATGGACAACTCATTGAAACTGGTGGTTAATCATTTCTTCCTTTATGCAGAGAAACATCAAAACTGAAAGAATATATGTGGAAAATTTTGCAATTACCAATCTATTAAATCTGAAATTAAGCATTGTGCTTAAAGGAAGCAAATTTAGCATAATTCCATTAGTCGAAGAACTAAATAAAATAACGCAATTTTCAGTTAATTAATGTTTTTGAATTAAAGAATTTCAAAATAAATAGAACTGCAATCACAGATTACTATATTGTCGGCATTTTTCGTAGAATCACAAACACACTTTATTCATAATGTGATTGAAACATACTTCAGATTCGATAAAAATAAAGTGCAGGCAATAAATTATATTCATAAACAGGAATATCGATTTTCGCTTAAGTGATAAATTCTATCGATTTCCACTTAACTTCCACGGCATTAAAGTGCTGTCATCGGTATTTAATAATAAAGTTTTAACGTTAAATTGATTGCAACAGATTGCAGAATAATCTAGAAAATCTTAAACGAATTTAAAGAAAGACCGCGCAATTATTCTGAAACTTAAAAATTTGGTATTTTGGCTTGTTTCTAATACCTGGTGCTGACGAAATAAAATGAGTCTTTTCGTTACATAAGGAGAACAAAAATAGTTAATCAATTCAGTCAAAATTAGTAGACCATTGATTATTCTCTGGTTATTTAAATTTTGAGCTGGATTCGAATTTTTCTCCTCTTACGAAAAATATATGAATTTATACAGGAATTTTAATAAATCTATAAATACTATATAATTAATTATTATTATTAAATGTAATAATTAATAATATTACATTTAATAATAAATAATACATTATTTATAATAATTAATGGACTATTTTACAGGAAATTAAAACACATTAAATCTCAGTACACTATTTTAGCCATTATAAACAAATAACAGTGTTTATTGCAAAATGTGCTGTACAAAGTTGTTTTGCATACCAAATAGTTTAAATCTCGCTTTCTCGAAAACTGGCCTTAAGAGACTATACCGTCCAACGTAAGGAAATATATATGTGAGATAAAATATATATAAAGCAAAATAATAATTTAAACTAACCCCTAATTCCCTTTGATTCTTTCCCTGTTTTCTAAAAATCGTAATAATTTCTCTGGATTGTGTCATTTCTAGATCATTCTATTTTGCATGGCCTGCGCAAAGCAGATGACGTAATAATTGGGAACTGAAACTTTAAACCAAAAATTTTCTCTTCGTGTGGTTCCATCTTGCGTAACTACGCACTTCAGCTTCGCTCTCTGCACTGCTAGGATATAATTTCGCTGTCTTGCTTGCTATCGCTATAATATCAAAATGTAAATGTTTTTGAATTAGTACAACTACAGTGCCAAATCAACTGTGGCCACAAACGTCAACTGGAAAATAAAAATGGAATTAAAACTGCCTCGACTGCCATGTTTCTTAGATATTACTAAGTCAACACATTAGCATACTATGCAATCAGAATTCTTCCTCTTCAAAATGGATCTAACCTATATAGCTATTACGCATCATCACTTCTCCGTCTTTCCTCGCGTTTATTATGTCATATATATCAAATAATCCTATACATGTAAAAAGAATAAAAAAAGTTAAAACAAAACTCTTCAAACAAGCAATACCCCAATTAAAAAAATTAATTAAAAAAAAATGGAAGAGGAATTCAATCAATCTCAATGCCACTTCGTCAGGAGGAGGAACAGTGCGAAATACTTACTAATATGAAATTTTTCAGCATCCTGCTTGTCTCAGTAAATGAATTTGAATGCACTTTTAAATTCGTGCATCATTAAACAAACAACAGGATTTCAGACGATGATAAAATATATAGCATTTAAAAATCACCATTTGGAAACTGGAAACCTTTATGGTTGTTTAATAATTTTAACAAAAAGATATAGAATCAGCTAAAACCTACAGTTACACTATTACTTTCAGTTACCAAATAACCTCAAGGTAACCCTAAAGTCTGTCAGAGGATTTTTCGTCTCATCAGTCTTCTAACTAAAGTAGAAAAACTCCACTAAATTGGTACCGAAACCCACTTTTAAATTAAATAGACTAAGAAATAAAAAAATTTACGCTTAAACTAATTTTTGGCACGTGTCTAAGTCATCGCGAAGCAATAGCGGCTAGCAGAAGCTTAAGGTGATCAGTTAAATTTAACAGCGAAACGCTGAAGAAGAATTACAATCAACCTGTGTTGCCAAGCGCTTTTTGAAACCCAAAGAACACCGAATTTTTTTTTTTTTACTCTTTAACTAATTTGCATTCGGGTGGAAGATGACGAACTTTGAATTAAAGTAAAAATGATAAAATAACTGACTTTATTAACATAAAACTTTTACGAGTTGACAATATCGGACAAGATTTGGAATTTCTAAGGATATTCAACTGTGATACCCCATATTATGCCCATATCACTCATGCATTTGTTTCATACGAACAACTGTTTCGCACAATTTTTCTGCCTGGTTTACTGTTGAAAGAAAGACGTGCGATTTTTTCCTTCCTTTCGAAACAAATTGCGAGTTGTTCGTTTTCAGCTTCGAATTCTACCAGCTTGTTTGTAATGGAGAACCAGTTTCCTCTTTACATGGTAATCCTAAAGTGATCTGTGGCGATTGGCTGTTGTGACAAAGCAGAAAAATTGTTCCAAACAGTTGTTCTTCCAAAACAAACGGATGTATGATAGCTGTCTAAGATTTATGAGTTATGATGCTAGTATAAATTGAAGAAACGCAAGCTAGGTCATGTGTATAACACATTTGTGACAATTATTAAATTTTTCATACTGTTTATATATTTTTGGCTTCTGTGACGATAATTTATCAAAATCAGAATATAGAAATCTTAATTAAATTTTAAGTTTTCAATATTAAGTTTAAATACTGCGGTTTCTTAATATCAAACCATGCTGGACTCTACAATAAAATTCATTCCTATTTGTCAAAGTACTAATCTACTAACCGCTTTTGGGAATGTTAGGTTGTGCTGCTAATTGACTGCAATTTTTCGGGAAGCTGAATTTTAAATTAGAGAGCTAGGATAGTGTCAGGCATTAGATTTAATAGTTAGAACTGTGAACTGATGAAGGGTCTCCATTCTCCTTAAGTTATAAGGTATTTCTCCCACCATCTTAGCGAGTCTTCGTGGTGCAGTGATCTGCACGCTCAGCGCGTAATTGAGAGGTCCGCGGTTAATTGCGGGAGAAGGCATTGCTAATTTTTCCTCTTGCCTGCTTTCAAAAATCTTCCTAATGTCTCTACAGTGGCGCCCGAACTGAAAGGGTGTTGGATGAGGATTCTCCACACCCAGAATTTTGGCGATTGGGCTCCCTAGAAACCTTAGTCGCCCTTTAAAAAGAGGAGTATATTAAGTATTTCTCCCACTTTCCTAGTATGCCTTCGTGGTGTAGTGGTCTGCACACTGTGCCGGTATTCCATAGGTCCGTGGTTCGATTCCCGGCTAAGGCGTTTGCTCATTTTTCATCTCTCTTGCTTTGGTGCCCGAACATCTACATTGGTGCCCGAACTAAAAGGGTGGTGGATGATGATTCTCCACACTCAGGATTTGGTGATTAGGTCACCTAAAAAATCCCAGTCGCCCTTTAAAAGGGGGAGTATATCAGATATTTCTCCCGCCTTCTTCGCATGCCTTCCTGGTGTGGTGGTCTGCACGCTCAGCGCGTAATTGAGAGGTCTGCAGTTCGATTTCCGGCGGTGTTTTCCAAAAAATACCTAATGTCTCTACAAAGCAAACATTTAAATTTTGTGTTACTCTTCACTTACATGTTGCGGTTCAAACAATTTTTATAGTTGTTATTTAAGTCCTCTTCATAAGCTAGTTACTATTTGCCTTGATATTTAAGCAACCTAATTCTTCAGACTTACACCTAGGGCTTAAGGAAGCCCCTAGGTGGAAGTCAAGCCGATGGGGATTTTAGAGCTGTAAATTCAGTGGAAAAAATCTGCAAAGGAGACTCACCTGCAATGAACAACGACAGGTCCTGTGGATGGGTATCGCATCATGTATACCTGGACTCTTCTCCGGAACTCAAGGAGGGCGCTGGGGAAAGGGCACGTATGGGAAGGCCAGTTAGTATAGTGCAGCTGGACTATCTCACGCTCTTCTTCTCCCTATTCAAAGAATATTAAATGTAACTACTCCAGACTGCTGCGATCACATACATGCTGAAGATCTGTATATAGTAAAAGAGATTCTACGCCTCAAACAACAGAAAATATTTAAAAGACAACGTTCTCTGTAATTCAAATAGTCGCTAAAATTGTTATCGATAAAAAGCCTTTGAAAGACATAGATAACAAAAATAAAATTACTAAGCTAATGAAATATATAAAAAACGTTTCAAGCTTATTTGTAATTTCTACACTTCTCTACATTTAACAAAAGACAGAGTCTGTCTGTGCGTGTCTTTCGTTCATGCTGCGCGTAAGCTATTAGACCCAGAGCTACGAAATTTGGTACATAGGTGCATCTAGACAAGAGCCAGTGCACCTCGAAGGGTATTTTTTTTCAAAATGCGAAACACATTTATTTTATTTTATCTTTTTTGATGGAATCGCATCATTTTAAATAGTTTAATTCTTTTAAAAATGTGGTTTTGGCAATAGTTTTTCATTCAATGCTTTGTATACGTGACTGCTGACTGTTGAAAATATGAGATAAAATATTCCTTATTTCATGCTGCTTATTTTTTGATTTTTGGACACGCAACACGTGCATCCCGATCTTCTTATTCTGACGCGCATGTCTCTCGCGAGGCGCAACAGAAACAATTTCCTTTTTTCCCCCTCTCTCTCTTTATTAGCTAATGGCAAGGAGTTTTATATATTTTGAATTCGGTCATCCACAAATCACAGTTTTGATTGGTTATTGCTTTCTGATGATAGTTTCATTCTTTTAGAAATGTGGTTCTGGCAACAGTTTTCTTCATTGCTTTGGATACTGGACTGCTGACTGTTTTCTCTTGAAACTATGAAATTTTTTGCTTATTTCATTGCAATTTTTTATATTAAGTTTTAATTATATATAATTTCAATTATATACAAAGTTTTGCATGATTTGTTTAGGAAACAAAGTTCTTAACTTCCTTTATACAATTTGAATTCTTAAGATTTTGCGACTAATTAATATTTGTATTAAGGGATATTGCTTATTTCATTGTAATTTTGTTAATATGTGATATATTTTTATTGAATTTTTTTATAATATTTGCTCTGCAGAGTAAAATTCTGTGCAGGTTTTAAATTTAATGTTCGGTGTTCCCTTTAGGCATTTTTACGGTGCATTTAAAAGCCAGAAAAAGGCTAACCGCGTAGCGGCAAGTATTAAATAAATATTTTATCGCGTCTCTATGGCAAATATTTTTACTTATCAAATGGCAGTCTGTTGCTCATTTAGTCATTAGACTGTGATCTTCACTATTTTTCCACGAAACAATTAAAATGAAATAATGCATAGATTCGTCAATATGAGCAGATGTCATATCTTGTTTATTTGGATACAAAATGCAAACAAGAAGTCGACAATATTAAAACGAAATAAATGGGCACGGGGACAGTCGCATCCAGTAAAGAGTCTACAAGTGACCACCGTAGATGCACGAGGGGCATCGGGAATAAGATTGGAATTGGTTCGGAGAACACTCCAGGACTTATTACAGGAAGAGCGAGCAGAAACTGTATGAAAAGACCGTCTGAAGATTCTTTTAACCTCCAGTTTTAAAGAATGAAAGGTAAATTTCTATTTGGTTACTGAATTAAATTGCAACCTCTTTTCGCAAAAAGGTCCGCTTTATGGCATGCGCGCTGCGCGGTTAGATTCTACCAGCTCTAGTTAAATGTAACTACTTCAGCTCTGCATTCTTTCGCCGCCGGTATATCTACACGCCTTTAAATTATTGATTCAGCTAAAAGCTTAGTATCAATTTAGAACTCAAACAACAGAAATTAGCGCTATATTTGCAAATTTTTCCAGGACTAGTTTCGATGGTTTTACCAAGCCATCCTCAGCTGCCAAAGCGCAATTGCATTTCCAATGATGGTTCGGTAAAACCATCGAAACTAGTCCTGTGAAAATTTGAAAATATAACGCTGATTTTTGTTGTTTGACTTCTAAACTAATATTTGTTCGGCGTGTTATTTTATCTTAATTATAGCTTAATATTTAACTACGTATTCTTGGACTACGGATCAATGCTTATTTGAATATAACGTTCTTATTTAATTTGCATTATAACGGACTGAGGTTATCTGTAGCACTTGTCGTACGCTGTTTTGTTAAAAGTTCAGCTTAAATAAAAAGGTTGTTTAAAATCTTTGTAAGTCTTCTTAAGTCTATTTCAGACATAGCGAAATTTCGCTACATGCCCGTTTGCGTTAAAGTTCCATTATTAGACTCTGTGTAACTTTATAATTAAGAGTTTAACTTGTCTAATATTTACCCAAGTCAAGACCCTTTTCTTGTATGATAGTTTGTCAAACTATGGCGACATCCCATTTTGAATTTTAAAGAATATTTTTACAAGCTTTCAAACTTTAAGGTGAACTAAAGTTTTAGAGATTTTTATTTCTGGACGTGTAACTCGAAACTGAGTCATTTACTCTAGGCGAAATCTTCCACTTTTGTGAAAACTATAAGAAAAATACAACCTGCTTGTCGTATAATGTATTAATTTTTAAATAGTCATAAATAACAAAATTGCAACGTTTAATGAAAACTGAAACGCATCGAGTCGATAGTTTGTTAGAATGTAATTCATTCAATATTTCTTTGTTCTTTATTATTAATATTTTGTAGTCAGATTTTGACATATAACAAATCACATTTTCTACAAATTTTGTATCATAAGCAAAACTGTAGATGGATTTAAAATAAATCGCATAATGAGATGCATATTTAAATATTTAAGAAAAAATTCAAAAATTAAACTTTTAAAAAAAACTACATTTTTTTTATGCTAAGAGCTTTAGTCGACGTTTTTACACAAAATACCGCGATAACGTCCATAGAATTTATTTTCATTTCATACTTGTTTCAATATCTATGCTTGATGTAAAATTCAGTTTAGAATGGGTTGTTTTACGCAAACTGCAAGCCTTTAAATACACTCTTGTCCATAAATTAAGGATAATTCGGAGGCACGCGGAAATCGAACTCTAAAATAAATATATCACATGTAAAATGACTACACACATCTTCAAGAATCATATGCAAATTTCAGGAAGTAACCAGATGACACCGACGGTACGTCACAATGACGAGAGTGTAAGAGAGTGATATATAAGGAATACAGGCAAAGAAGTAAAATTGTTCGCAGGGGCTTTATAAGTATTTCACTGCAATAACCGAATAGCTACGACACAAAGGACGCATTTGGATGATTTTTTACGTGTTAGAATTATCGGCCGTCTGGAATGTGGGCGTACCCAACTGGAAGTATCAGACGAACTTGGAATTGCCTACAGTGTCATCTCCAGGCTTTGGCAACGATTCCAAGATGATGGTAATGTGAGTAGACGTTACAGGACAGGTCGCCCCAGAGTTACAACGCCGAATGAGGACCGGGATTTGGCAGTTATTGCCAAAAGAAACAGGCGGAGCACAGCCTCAGACCTGTCTCGTCAGCTCTCTTCAGCCACTGGTAGTACAATTTCAAGGCAGACCGTGTACAGACGCTTAGGGCAGATTGTTCTATATGCTCGTAGACCTGTCAGATGCGTTCCACTTGCAACTCACTGTCGCCTGCGGTTAGCCTGGAGTAGAGAGCATGCATTGTGGACACCGCAACAGTGGGCTTGTGTGATGTTTTCCGACGAGTCCAGGTTTAGCTTGAAGTCTGATTCTCGCCGGACTTTCATATGGAGAGCTCCGGGTACCCGTTACCACCAAGAAAACATCATTGAACAACACCGTTACGGTGGTGCAGGAGTGCTCGTTTGGGGTGGAATTATTCTGGGTTCCAGAACTGACCTGCATGCTCAAATTGGAACCATGACAAGCCAAATCTACCGGGACGTCATTCTGGAAACACATGTACGCTTGTTTCGGGGCGCCATGGGCGCACAATTTGTGTTTAATGTATGAAAACGCCCGTCCTCACCGTGCAAACATCGTAAGCGAATGCCTGCTATCGGAGGATATCACCCGTATGGACTGGCCAGCATTCTCACCGGACTTGAATCCAGTAGAGCACGTGTGGAACATGCTTGGCCGACGAGTTGCAGCCCGTCAACCTCCTCCTACATGTCTACCGGAACTTCGGAGTGCATTGCTTTTTGAGTGGTGTAATATTCCCCAAGATCAGATCGATAATTTGATACTCAGCATGCCTAGGCGTTGTACGGACTGTATTGCATCATCTGGGAGACATACAATGTATTGACAATCATACCAACCATGTAATGTTGGTTTTTGTAAATAGTTTTTTTTTTTGTAATTTGCTCCAGGGAGAAAAAATCGCTAATTTTTTTAATAATATCAAACATATAGCATCTTTTTTTGTTCTTTACCTTTTGTTTAATAAATAAGCTTTACAAATAAGTCAAAATTTGTTTTGCTTCTAACTCTTCCTTTGACTGATTTTGCATTATCCTTAATTTATGGACATGAGTGTAGATATATTAATGAAGATTATATGCATTAAACGACACATGTGAAGAAATGTGTCATAGCAAAACAATGAAAGCTTAACGCGATAGTTATGAGCGATATATGTATAATATTCATTTCTAGTCCTTATTTTTATAGTAAAATGCATACGTTGTGCAAGTACCATAACACTGTAAAATCTTACCTTTCTTATTTTAACGGTTCTGATAAAAAAATTCGCTAATTGTTCTTCCGCTAACAACGTGATCTCTAAGTTCCCATATTCCTCAGGCTTGTCCAAGTCTGTGGGCCAATACTGAACGCACATTACCTAGAATAAAAATTTAAATTCAAAAATGTAAATTATTTTTTTAACAAAATACAGTATCAGATTAGTTATTTAATTAAATTTTCTTTAATGAGCTTCGTCGTTTTGAAGGATATTTGCTCTTTAGGTTTTATACACGAAGAAAATACCTTTATGCGCTTATGGAACTTCAGTGATATTCATATATAGTCATATATGGGTGGCATCAAAGCCTGCGTATATTGATGATATTTGTCTTGCTGGATTGTTACATTAAGCTCAAAATTTCATCTCGATGTACGCAGCGGAGAGCTGAAAAGGGATCACGTAAGCCTGTCAGGACTCGTGCTTCTCTTGATTTGCTTTGGAAACACGGAATGCCCTGAATAAGAACAGGGAGCTTACTCAAGCTATGTTCAAGATTTGTGTATAACAGACGACACAAGCAGGAAGGGTACACGAAACCCTTTATTTTCAATACTTTACAGGCACTTCCGAACTTCGGAATACAGAGACCAACCACTTGTGGTCTGAAGGTAAGAATATAAAACTACTAACTAAAACTCTAACTAAAAGCTAACTTTGAATTAGTATACAAATGCCAAGCACTAAGACTGGCCTTTATTTAAAAAGGGTACGTATGTAGTACGCCGAGCTGCTGAAACTACAATACGTTTGCAAATATCAAGAGGGCTTAAACCTCTTGATATTTGCATATTTGGCCTTCAGACTTTTTTTTCTGTCCAACAACAACAAGCAACTTGTTGCCTTAAAAGCAACCACCAACCGAATGAAAACTCGTAAAACTGCAGTGCTTGTTTCCTAAAACTCCTTCTCTATCCCGCTTGGCAAAAAGCCATAACTTAAGTACTTGGGCGTTAGCAAGACAATTTGCATAAACAAGTTAAAAAAATTTAATTCTGGCCGGAAGTAGAAAATAAAAAGTGATAGTACAGTTTTAAAATAAAATAAACGTTAGTAAAACTTAGGATCCTTACAAGCCTTTTGTTGAACTTGTTTCTAATTTGCGAGCCTTTTGTTCTTGGTTATTTGTTCCAAGAAAACTACATGTCTGATGTTTCACACTCATACTTTGGCAAACGTTAACTTTTATGTTTAAGCATAAAAAAAAATGAAATTATTTGAGGAATATCTAAAACAGCTTTCAGTTCGATAAGAAATATTTCTATGACAAGATCTTCTTTCGCTTCAGTATATATTCCAGAATTAACAAACTTCTCCTTCAAAGGAAGCTTTTAAGAGAATTTAATCCTAAACCCTATATAAAAATGTTTTTTAAAAACCATCGCTTGGCCTTGGGAATTATGGGAAAAAAGTGCAGCTGCTTCTGGCATTAACTGTGCTGCATAGTTCAATTTTCTGTAATTTCTGTGAGATTTTATAATTTTTATAAATTTTGAAACATTTCTTCGTTTATGTACAATTATTTGTATTTTCTGTTAGTATAAAAAGGGAGAACATTTAATTAGAGTTTGACATTTTGGCTTTATAATATAAAGTGTGAACTCTTTGTTAATATTTCATATTCTTCGATGAATGCAGCTTAATTTCCATATAATTAGATTCCTCTGATCCTTACGGTCGCTATGTGCTGCAGTTTACACACACATTGGTGACACATAAATAAGATTGGGTGACATAGCTCCTTGACTGGACTTTGCTGTCACTGAACTTTCGATTATTTTCTGTATGTCATTAAAGGAGAGTCTACTGAGACAGCTTTAGAATACAAGAAAGAGTTTATACGAGGGCTTACGGTCACAAATAGTTTAAGCTGAACTTTAGTTGGCAGGCATTCAAACCTTGCTACATCTCAGAAATTGATATAAGGATCTGTCTCAATGATCTGACTTTTCAAATTTCCTCCAAACTGGTATAAGAATCAACCAGTCAAAGTCAAGCAGTTGCAGGCGAAAATATCGCGTCAAAAGCATCGTGGACGGAAACGTGGCAGAGAAAACAACGCAAGGTAAAAACGTCGTGGTACAAAACATTGTGGGAAGAAAGAAAGCAAAGAGAAAACATAGCAGTTATAAAACATTGTGGTACTAAATATCGTCGTTGAAAATAAAGCGGTTCAAAAACCTCATAGTTTAAAAGCATTGTCGTCGAGAATATCGAAGTAAAAAGTACCGCTACAAAAGTCATGGCATGAGGATAGCATCGTAGGCAGGCATTTTAAAGGTTTTAAAATTTGTAAACGCATATTCATATAATGATTTGTGAGTAGAAGAAGGAATGCAGAATATTTTAACTTTTAGATTTCATGTTTTGAATAACTATTAAATTTTTGTTGAAAAAATAAGCAGGAAACTTAAGCATTCAGAAAGTAAAAATGAGTAGAAAGTTAATGCTATTTATGGCAGTTAACAGAATTTTAAACTTACAATGGTTAACTAATAAAGGTCATTAATTAATTAAGCTCTCTTTTAAAGTTTTACTGCTACTTTTTCATAAAAAATATAATAAAAAGATTAGAAAAAGGGGCATGAGTATCTGCATAAGCCTACCTGTCTTAAAATTCTTTAATTAATTATTAAACTGTAAAATTAATTTCTTTCACTTTTTTCATTTGAAATTCTTTAAAAAAATTAAATCTTGATTAATTTTTTTTGTTGGAAATTAAATGTTGTTTAGTGTCATGTTATTCGTCTTTTTAAAGTGCCATTAGCATCTTCACGTACACCATGCAGCTAATCGTTTAGATTTGTTAGTTATGACGAAAGACCTCAGCTAAATAACATTTATGAAATCAATAATCAAATTCACAAGTTTTAGATTTTGAATGCTTAAGTTTTCTGACTGCTTTTTCAGCAAAAATGTATTTGTTAGTTAACAAATATGAAATATAAAAATAAAAATATTCATAATTCCTTGTTGAGCTAGTAGAGACTTAGGTTATTTTTATGCAGGAGACTTAAAAAATGAACAATATCGTCGCCGGGACTCGACCTTGGATCGCTCGAATACGCGCCGAGTGTGGTAACTGTTACCCCACGAAAGCATGAAGGAAGAAAAATACTTTATAAGCTCAAAATTATTATGTGAAAATACATTTATAGTTTTCAAAGCCTAAAAAACGCATGTCTGCGATATCATCGTCATGCAATGATTTGTGGCTGCTTTACTTTCTTGTAGCGATGTATTTGACGACGATGTTTTTAAATGCGGTGTTTTTGAACACATTATTTTCGACGACGACGTTTTGTACCAGGATATTTTAGAACTGCGATGTTTTCTCCTTTTACAACGACGTTTTTTCCTTACGTTGTTTTCTCCGGACCATTTTCTTCAGCAGCATTTTCGGCGGAACACTCAGTCAAGCAAATATGAACTAGCATTCAGTCGATGATTTCGCTGTGTCAGATGCAATTCATGCATGTGCAAATTTACTTTCCTTGATCGGCTATGGCTTAAGCCTTTTCCCATAGGTGTGAACGAAACTAATGGCCTTTACGCCTTTGTATTTACGACAATTCTAAAAGGCAAAACCTCGCCTGAACAATCCGTAAGGGTCCGCTTTAATATAGGGAAGTTCAGACGATTTAGTGCCTACCATTTTCTTAAGTACACGACTAGCTTGACTAGCCGATGAATGCGACCGAAAATTTGTGTTTAATAATGTCCATATGGAACAAGTCAGGGTTGAAAATTTTCTAAGTTGAATTACGCTTCTTACTGATAAACATTCCCCACAGAATTCAGAGATACTATTAGCTGGCAGTGTCGAAGAACCAAAAAGTTATCGAATAAGCAAAAGCTATCGACTTTGTCATCGAAGAAGCAAAAAGCTTGGAACTGTTTCGTTTTTAAAATTTTTAATCTAGAATCTACAAGGAATAATGGATGCGTTATTTGGAATTTTTATTGATTTTGCAAACTACACGGACAACAGATTAAACGCATTTTAGTTTATTTTAAAACTTGTGTTTTAAATATTATCAGTAGAAATACTTTAGATCCAAGTTTAATAATGCTTTTTGCATTAATGTTAATACTTTTTTTGGCATGTTGAAGATGCCTGTTTGGACACCTATCTGTTTCGCTTTATTCCAAAAACTCATCATTTCATTTACATAGCATATATATATAAGCCTTCTATTACTGCAAAAGAAATACGATTTTTTTCTTTTCTGTCATTCTCAGTTTTATCTCATATCGACTGCAAATGATGATAACTTAATAGTTATGGATATCATGGTATTCTTTCATTGACTGCGAAAATACTGCTTACGGTGAACAGAAGCTGCAGATTAATAAAGATTTTGCCTATTACATATTAAATACTTTAATCTTACAAGAAGATAAACTGAATAAATGAATGTTCGTTAAAAACATAAGAAAGATAACATTGTTGAAAGATAACATCTGAGTCCAATTTTTGTAAGGCAAATTGTCTTCTAGCATCTCTTGTATAATGTAACACGAAAGGCGTATAGAGAATGAAGTTTCGCTGGAACAATAAGGTTACAGGTTATATTAACATTGAGCAAACTGCTATCTTACCAAATTTGGCGAGATAGGACCAAGTTGGAAATGAGATTGGCGACTATGTTTTATTTCCAGTTTTGGCGATAAATTGAGATGTCGACAAACAAGGGCTATCATTTGGCGACATTTGGGTCTGACACCTGTATCCTAACACTGCTCCTGTCACTATATAACTTACAGGAAATAGGGAATAATGTGATTACACAGGGAATAATGTGGTTAAACATTATTCCCTATATAACTGTAACTGTGTACACTTTCCAGCAATTTCGAGAAATCAAAGGTACTAGAAATTTCTCTTCGCACTGAGGAAAACTGTATAAGACAGGAGAGAACATCAGTTTTAGTTTAGTTCAGAGTTTAACTCAGAGTATTGAGAGATCGCTGTGCGAGCATATGCATTCGAGGCATTTTTATACTGTCTTATGTTTAACATCCTTAGTAGCCTGAAGTAGTGACTACTGATCGTATTCTTGTGAAAAGTGCCAGAACTGTAAATTGTTTCTTTTGAGAAAACAAATTTCATTAAGCTATCATCAGTTCTGTGTACATTAAATCCGTTATGAACTGTATAGTAAAAAGCCAATGTGCAGCTACAGACATTCCGTTCAAACCGCGTTTTTCAAAGCTCAACTATCTGTATATGTTACCGTGAAAGACCGAAATTGGAGAATGTCGACTTTCATCGGAGAATATCAACATTCACCAAATACGTCGGTGAAAGACCGAATATTTCACTACATTCTTGTATATTCGGACCCTCACCGGTGTATGTCGACAATCACAGATATGCTCTGGTGAAAGTCGAAAAGAGAGGTCATAAAGTGCTATAATAGTTTAAGTTGTTGCAATAAATACGATTTGAATCACATAATTTAGTAAGTTTTTTATTACTGTTATTTTATTTTCTCATTTAGAACGTATTATATAATTAAGTAAGTTTTTAACTTCTATTATTTTCCTTTCCCATTTTGAATGTATTGTGTGTTTTAGGTTCTCATGTTCTTATTTCAAGTATCAAGTGCGTTTATTCGCGACTGCATTATTGAGAAGAAAATATAATATTGTTATATGTTCAACATTCACCATTAGTACATGGTGAATGTCGACATTGACCGGTGTAAGTCAGAAATAAGAGTATTTGGAAAATATTTCGGACATACACCAAGAGACTATGTGAATGTTGACATTCACCGGTGAAAGTCGACATTCTCCAGATTTTGGTGTTTCACCGTAACATATACATAAAAAAAAAAAAAAAAAAAAAAAAAAAAAAAAAAAAAAAAAACACTAAGATGAAATTATTTTAACTTACATTTGTTATACGTTTCCCATTTAATAAGGTTACGTTCCATTTCCATCTTAAAAATAGTAATTGCTTATAATAAAGCTCTCTGAACCGAATTATTTAAAATTTGACCCACTTTATATGATTCTTATGTAACGTTAATGACGCGGCTATTACGTGACACTTCAGCCAGTAATAATATTAGAATTTACGAAAGGAAACTTAAATTAACCAATCAGAATGATGCTGAACGAAAATTGAATCTGTTTTATCCAGACGACCCTTTAGAGTGTAATTTGTGCATTCCTTTGCTACTTCCTTGTTTTCCTATATTGCTGTTGCGTACTACTCTGTCTCAAGTCGTTAGAATACTTAAAAATGTACCAGTGTAACTATTCAAGAATAGGCAAGATTTCTGCGCTAGTTTAATTATAATTATGTCAGTGCCGAGAAATTGTATTGTCAGGAAATAACGTGTTCTCCCGGCCATAATTATAGCTATATCTTAAGGCATCTCTAGCATCAGCATATAAATTATAATATACGATATCGTACATACTCAAGTAATTATAAAATAAATATTATACAATGACAAAAAATTATTCTTATCGAAAAGAAATAACTTTTAAATCGATTAAGTAATTCAGTATTCATCGATATTATTCACATGCGAGAAAAGAGAGAGTAAGAGAGAAAACGTTTCCATAATTACCCGGATGAAGTCGAAGACTTTCGTGAGCATGACAATGACGTATGAATCCTGTTCCCAGACCATTCGCCAGAAGTCGGAAATGGTGAACTCATTTGGACCTAAGAAAAAACCATTTTGATGAGATTTTCAGACATTTTGCATAAGATAAGAACTTAAAAGTTTCAAGCACTCTTATCAAATTCTAGCAACTCGTAAAAATATTTTATGTCACTACATTCTTCCCAATCTACATTTGCATCATCAAATTTTTATTGCAGTTTCATATAAGAGAGAGGGACACATTTACTAATAATAAAATTTTGTCTTGTATTTTTATTATACTCATTATATATAAATTATGGCTTTTTAATAAACCTAGGGCCATCTTTATTGGCGTGAAATAACGCAATTTTTTTAATGATGCACACATTATCTTGCATTTTTTAACATTGAAAAATACTGTAGTAATTATTAATTTATCAAATTTTTCGATGATCGATACTAGGAAAATGAATGCCTTGGAGTCACACTTATATTATTGATTATATTAAATCTGTCTGTTATAATTAGAGAACTGAGATTAGGATCCCACATAAGGCATGAGCATTTGTACTATTATATCTATGTAGAATAGTGAAAAATGGCACAATGATTGTCATAGAAAATTTCAGGATTTGAACCTTCAAAGACAGTACGATTTAGTTTGCGGAAAGAAATAAGCAATTGTTAGTTTGGAAGCTCATTTAAAAAGGTCGCAAATACATAAAAGTGTTCTATTATTTCGTACAGTAGATTAAGATTCTAGAGCTGCCCTCCCGATCATTGCTTCAACAGTGGATAAGATTCTAGAGCTGCCCTCCTGACCATTACTTCATCTGAAGCTCCTGCTTCAGCAGATGTTTTTAATATCCGTCTGACCCTTAATGATTTAATCAAAACTATAAAGAAGTTGCTTTGCAGTGGGTACCAGCACGCTGTGGACTTCAGGGTAATGAAATAGCTGACTCCCTGGCAAAAGAAAGCAACCAAAATTGCTCAAATAACAGATAAACCAATTCCTTTTTATATCGCCAAACGGTTAATTAAAAATCTTTTAGAAATATTTCGTACAGTAGATTAAGAACTATTGGAAAAAAATCAAAGAGGCAATTAAAGACAAGAAATAGATTGAGGATCATAAATATTCCACTATGGCCAAGGGGTAGATCTGTTGCCACTTTTTACCTCACTACTGGCCATGACTGCCTTTCCAAGCATCTATATCGTATAAAAATACTGCCAAGTCCTCTTTGCCAATTGTGCAACATCGGCACAATGGCAATTGAATATGCGCAATTGGCAATTGACCAACATTAGCCAATCATGCACATTCGTGAGGAAATGGACGCGAACCATTTGAGTCACTACCCTACACTGGACTCGGGACACTTGTGGAAGAAATACTGGAGAGCTCGACACAAGATGAACGATTTATGAACTTACTGTAGTTTTAGTTTTATTATCCGTTCCTTCTGTTTGTATTTCCGACTACAGCTGTCTTCTAATCTGGCATTGGAAATAAAAAAAAAACTTCGAGTAGTGAAACCTCGGATTACGAAAGACTCTGAGTGTAAATACATTGATTCATGAACAATTTACCAAATTAAAAATCTTCTCAAATGAAGAACGATGTCTGGAGTTACGAGACATAGAACTAACACTCAAAGATTTCTAGAAACAACATTTTAATATCTTCCTTGCTTAACACTCATTGTCAGATTAGCAGCAAATGACTTACAAAAACTCGGCCTAGAGGAAATTGCGGCCTGATTGTATTGCATGCAGAGACTAAGGACAACTTGTAACTGAGAAATGAGAATGTATTTATGATAATGGGTCTCTAGATAAAAGCATGGGCTTGAAAGTTAACATTGAAGACATGGATGAGTTACTACAGGATCACAGAAAATGAATTCTACAAAAGAGAATTGAAGTACTTTCAGAATTGGCAAACAAAAGGCAATTGTAGACTCTTCAGAGGAAGAGGAACAAAGAAAAGATGAACCTAGCTCTTTGATCCGCGAAATTTGTGCAAAATGGGGTAAACTTTGGTTTGGTTTATTTGATTATGACAAAGCAGTCGAGGGCTATCTGCTTAAGGTTAGGGAAGGCTTTATGGATGATGAACTTCTAAAAGAAACTAGATCGTGTACACGTTAAACATTGCGAAAACCATGAAAACGTCCATGCAGCCAGCTCGCTCGCCAGGATTAGAACCCCAGATCGAACTACCAGTTTTTAGCAACTTTTACCGCTCGGCCGCTGGTGGGTCCAAAATGGGATAAAGTGTAGCATTTCATTTAAGGGTATCTCCCTGCAAGCAACAGCAAAGTTCTCCTATGACAGCTCCATGCCTTCTTTTAGAAATATTTAAAAAATATACATAATAGCAAATCATAATGATTCAAAATTTTGAGTGATAATCAAACTTTTGAATGAAAAGGCGGCCTTGTGAGTCTGAAGCAGAGTTTAGTGGTGCTAAGAGACAAAGAAAATATAAAAGAATATGTCTCAGAAAGACGGTTACTTTATGTTTTTTAATGAAAGAGAACGCCTTATCCAAACAATAATATGGATTTCTTATCACTTTACATTTATGCCGTTTGCTGTCTACTCAAGGACTAGGGATAAGCATAGGTCTCCCTCATGATAACCATCATCATGAGGGAGAATTAGAAACTCATTCATCATGAGTGCATAGGGTAGGATTAAATTAAATTTTATATATGTTATCTGTTTAATATTGTGTTCACGTCTTTTCATATTATATTTAATGGTTTTCATTATTTTTGTGTTTTTAGAATTTGTGCGGAAAGCGTTGTTGTAAATTTTAAGTAAGTGATTACCTGTGATCCAGGAACGACGGGTCCAGGAATAAATTATTTTACCTTAATTCTTTGGAGAAAATAGTTTCAGTTTACGAACATGTTGGATGGCATTCAAGAACAGATGAAATTCCAGACTCGAGGTTTCACTGCATTTAATTTTTCATAATATGAATAAATTTTCTAATCACAATCTTGATTTCTTCTTTCTTTTCCCAGAAACCAATTGTCTTTAGTTATTCTTACATATTAGGAGTACAGTCAATTCACATGAAAAAAGGAAATTCAGTCTAATTCTTTCGATCAAATTGCCTGCTATGAAATAAGAGGTACTAAAAACTTGATCATTCTGGAAATTCTCGTTGTCCTGTCCAGACGAATTTTCACAAATTGCTAAGAAGGAAAAAAAAAGGTGCGAAATTCTTGGATTGCATCTGCAGAAGTGTTTTGTGAATGAATGTGAAGCAAAAATCATACTGATACTGCTTGTTCGCAATGTTCCTCTTTGATCAACTAAAGAGGCAAACTGTGTTCCACTCATGAATATTTATGAAACTAGTCGCTCAACAGCTCATGACAAACTGATGTACTTTCAATCTCACTGACCCTTACTCAGGGGTCTAGCCTTTCAAGGAGGGTTGCAGGGAGATACCCTTAAATGAAATACTACACTTTATCCCATTTTGGACCCACTAGCGGCCGAGCGGTAAAAGTTGCTAAAAACTGGTAGTTCGATCTGGGGTTCTAATCCTGGCGAGCGAGCTGGCTGCATGGACGTTTTCGTGGTTTTCGCAATGTTTAACGTGTACACGATCTAGTTTCCTTTAGAAGTTCGTCATCCATAAAGCCTTCCCTAACCTTAAGCAAATAGCCCTCGACTGCTTTGTCATAATCAAATAAACCAAACCAAAGTTTACCCCATTTTGCACAAATTTCGCGGATCAAAGAGCTAGGTTCATAGCTAGGTTCAGGATAAGTAAATTAATCCTTATCATCTCACCTAAAATTATTAACGAGCTTCTTCGTTCAAGTATTTGGAACAAGCAGATGAAACTCAGTCCACTCATGTTTATTCACAAAAGTGTTCTCGCAAGGATTCGGATAAAAATACTCTGATCAGGATCCTGTCTGACTTAGAACTCGGAATAAGTAGTTGAATAGTCAGTCCCATTGATGATGTTTCGTAACCCTATTCACTAATAAACTCAGGACACTCATAAGTGAACTCATAACTCATAAGTCTGTTCAAGTCGGATAATTTGGAAGACATCTACTATCCCATAAGATTATTCATGGGATTGCCCGCTCATGGAGTTGACAGAAGTACGTGTTGCGCCGGCCATTGGCAAGAGACTTCACTCAGTTCCAACCGAGATTTTAACGGAGATCAACCCAAGGGGACAGATCCGAGGATTTCCCACCCTCTTCCTCTACCACAACCTCTCGAGAGGGCCTTCGGCTAGCCATATATTTAGAGTGCACCCATGCGGCAAAGACACTGTATATTTACAAACATCCATGACTTCTCCGGGATTCGAACCCCGCTCCTTCGGTGTCGTAGTAGACTTCCTTAACTACTATACCGTCTGAGCGGCGTTATTTTATTTGATTCTGGTAATGAACTCGAGTGCAACCTGCCTAAGAAGAGCAATGCCTTCATGGAGGATTTTCGAGAGGAAATAGCTAGCATCCATATTACACACGTGGAAAACAACAAAAGCACCCATGCAGTCAGCTCGTTCCCCGGAATTTGAACCTCGGACCGAATTACCAGTGCCCAGTGGAATTTACCGCTCCGCCTATAGTAGACCGTAGCCTCTTTCACTATTATTTCTAGAACTGCCTGCTCGCCAGCGGCCGAGAATTAAAGTCGCTGAACGCAGGTAGTCCGACCTGGATTCGATTGCAAGAAAACGGGCTAGCTGCATTGTTGTTTTTCTCATGTGCGACATGTATACGAGCCAGTTACCCTTACAAAGTGCTCCACTGAAGGCATCCCTCCTCTTAGGCAGATAGCCCTAGCGTGATTTGCCATAATCAAATAAACAAAAAGAAACCAATCCTAGATCTGCATGCTCAAGGACTTGGGATGAGTGAAAGTCTCACTTATGGCTGTTTACGAGGATGTTTGTATAAGAGTTATCGGTAATCAAACGCACTCACTGTCCTACCCATGATACTCATGGGTTTATTCACTTAAGAACTAAAAATAAATATTTCCACTCATGATTATTTATCTACTTATCTTCTTCATAACACGGCAAATGCGATAAACTTTCATATAAGTTATTTTAATAACAAGTGAGAGTCCAACCGAAACGAGCAGATAAATATTTTCAAAAATTTGAAAAGTTCTATCGTTATGTAAGATTTGCATTTTTCAGTAGAAAATACTGAGGATCTGGACATATAGTGATGCATTTATATTGAAGATTCAAATGCTTGGCTAAACAATGCTTCAATCCCATTAGAAATAAAACCGAGTATTATCTCGAAGTATGACTAAAATTAAGTCTTAGTTACTGGACTTACTGACGAGTAACTAAGACTTTCATAACCTATTCTTAATTTAATGAAATGAAATAACCTGTAAGGATTAACTTGTAATAAATTCTGAAAGAAGAATGGAGAAGTAATTAAGTTATTAGAATATTTAATTTCTTTAATTATTCGCATTGAAAGTGAAACAATATTTTCCTGAATTAACTGATTGGTACGCTTTTAACAGCTTTTTTAAGAACTCGAGTTTAGCAATTTTGTAACAAATTAGGTTTAATTTCATTAGCGCTATTAAAGTTTCAAACTTTGCGAAAAGAAAAATAATTAAAAATATTTCTGTGAAGAACAAAAAATCTGATGTGTACACCACATGACTTCCTTGTACGGAATGTTAAATTATACGCCTTTTTTATTGCATTTCGTTTAAACTTATTGAATTGAATTAAATCTATTTCACCGACAGCGTATAAACCACAATAGAATAAACTCACTCTTTAAAATTCACTCTATTTGCTTACCATAGCGAAACTCTGGCGCTAGGTTCACTTAACTGTATTATATTTCGTTCATATTATAACTCAGAATGCATAAAATTGATATCATTTAAAGAATTATCTAATCGTTGCCACATGTTCCATTCAAATGCTATAATAAAGCTAGAACGATGTATAAAAGAAATTAAACAAACAAAACAAAAAAGAAACAGTTTTTCATAGACGATTCAGTATTTCTCATTCAATTAATTCAGTTCTCACTTCGCGACAAGGCAAAAATGCATAAAAACTCAAAATATCTGTATTAAAAATTACGAAGTAAATGTTAAACAGTTATTTCCTCGAAAAAATTCCAGAAAGCATTAAGCATGATTTAATTCTCAATAATAAATGAAGGCGTTATCTTTGTTGTTGCTCTAGATTGGCAACAAATCCACTATCCTTCTGTTTCAAATGTAAACAAGCAATGGCCGCCATAAAAAAATATTAGGCTTAGCGGCACTTAAACAACTTTAAAATTGTTGAAAATTCTAAACATATTGCATACAGATTTACTAAAGGCATAAAAACCTTAACTGGAAGATAAGAACAACATAATTCCAATCATTTTTAAAGCAAAAAATGCACAAAAAATGCACAATTTACCATACATATAACAAGTAAAAAAGAAACTGAGATCACTAAAGCCGAGTAACAGAGTAGGATATATATGTAAATATTTATATACGTTTTGGTGCGGCCGATTGCAAACCAAAATAGGGAGGTGCACAATCTACATACTGTTATAGCAGTCCTATATACAAAATTTCAACGTTGCCGAGGCTAACTCGTTTTTGAATTATGCGAGATACGTATTCATACATACGTTACGCACAAGATATCACGAAAAAATTGTCTTCAAAATTCATTTTAAAGCAAGTTTTATAACTTTTTTGGAGGAAAAGAATATTTTATTCTTTCCTTACGTACAGATATCACGCAAAAACACCGTTAAATTGCATTCGATAGTTGTCAAAATGGATATTTTCTTTGAAATATGCTGCCTGAAACTTTTCGCGATTACAATACTTCCTTTTTACTTCGTACAAGGAAGTAAAAATAGAGTACTTTTATCAGTAATTTCGATTTTTAAATAAAAATGTCTCTTTTACATTCTCGAAACTTAAGACCAAGAAATCTTAGCTATTTCCGTTGCAATTATTTTTGTAATTATATTTTAGAATCACTTTTTTCATTTTTTAAATCGAAAGTATGTTTAAAAATTTTAGGTCGAAAAAAATTACAAAAATTACATTAACATTCAGTACAAAGCAGTGTTATAAAATTTTATCATTTTCATAAAAACAGCTCATTAATTTTCTTTAATATGTACAATTTTTTTAACATTTCTTTTATAAAATGTATACACTCTAGTTTTTCAACATTAGTATTTCTATTTACACCATTATTTACATTTTACTTACTAGATAATATTTTTCTTTAAAAGGAAAAAAAAATAAAGTTACATATTCTGTATACACTAATTTTTTAATTAGTCTGTACTTTTTTCTGTATTTCTGGATAAAAAAATTTCTGTTGCAGTAATCATAAATCCAGGAACAATTTAAAGACTTAAAACATGAGGTTATATACAATAAAAACCGTTATAGTTTATTAATATTAGAGCAAAAATTTTCTCGTATTTACCTTGAGCTGCTATAAAAGCATTTGGCTTGAGGATACTCTGAAACAGAAAAATGAATCTGTATTAAAATCGAAATAAAAACTAAAAACAATAAAAACCCAAATTATACAAAATTGGAATTAGTGAATGCGTTTAGAATTTAAGAAAGCATAAACATTTATCCGAAATTTTTAAGAAACGGAATAGATTATTCATTAGTTCAAAACTATCGAAATTGCTTTCAACATATTCTCCTTTACTAAATTACTAAAATTACATTGCTTATTATTACTTTTTATTTAATATACTTTCCGTTTTTTCAATTCAGAGAAACAGAAAGGTTTCATTTTTATCTAGATTTTTCGATATCCCTTATTTAAAATGCCTAATACATTTATCTTTTCATTATAAATGCTGTTTTTGAAAAGAATATTAAATTTGTGCAATTAGTTAGTCTAACTAAGCTATTAAATAAAGAAATAAATTGTTGCACAATTTTCGTGTATTAAGTTCCATGTTTTGAAGCATACTTTTGTAAACTGTTATTCACTATAATATTCAAACTACTTTGAAGCAGCATTTATAGATTTTAACATATGAATAATGTTACTGTTTTGACTAATCCTGCTTGTATGACATTAAAAAAAGCCCACGAAGCTCACCGCTTCAAGGAGACAAGATTGCGTCTGTCGGTGGCAAGAGCCTTGTGCACCAAACAGGTGACAGTATGACTCTGCTAAGTTCCACCCTCTGTTTTGAAGAAAAGCATCCTGGAGGGAACGGGTGCGAGGGTCTCCCATCCCTTTTCCCCTACTATCAACCTCCAAAGAGGACTTTCGGCTCGCTGCATATTTAGAGCGCCCACATCGCGCACGGACACTATACGTTTGCAAGCATCCATACCTTCTCCTGTATTTGAACTTGGATCCTTCTGTACGGCAGTGAGAGTAATTAACTACTATCTCGGTTGGGCGACACATACGAATAATATCATTATCATTATCATTAGCCGGCCGTATGATGAAAAATGAGACTGGCCAGAATATATATATATATATATATATACATCTTTCATGTGTGTACGTAAAATACTTTTGAAAATATAACCTTTTTAAAACAAATGAATCATTTGTGCTAAACCTGTATTATTTGTAACATTATAGAGGATCCTTCGTCGAAACCATTCACCCTTCCTGTTTGACACAAGATTATGTTATGATGTTATAATAATCTTCTAATATATTTTAATGTTTTTTTTCCTTTGAAAGCAAGTTAATGAAGGCGAAATGAGAAAATAAAATACTTACATCTATATAAGAAGCGTTGATGTAGTCCGAATCAGGAATACCTGGAAGGGGTTCTAACACAACTCTGTTGTAGTCGACTGGAAAAAAAATACAAATCTTACTACAATTAAATAAAAAAAGCACTAAAAGCTAAACATAGAAGTGTACAAATAATAGTTTTATATAAACACATACAGGAAAAATAAATAATCAATAGCCGTTTATGTATTATTACATGAAGTTTGTTCAATAAGGCAGAACGTTAGGTTAAGAAATTAGTAGATTGTAGAATCAAAGCTGAAGATCTTTCAACGCTTGAGTCATTCTTGTACACAACTCCTATGAATTAAACTACTTCGATATTATTATAATCAGGATAATTCTAACGTACAACTTTCCAAATCCGAAGAACAATACCAGAGTGACAGTTCTTTTAACTTCCCCGCAAACTATGCGCCGACGAAAGAAAATGGCCCATGTTTCAGGAGAAATTCATCCTACCAAGATTTGCATCCTCTTTAGCTTGTAGAGTCATTAGGTTTTTTGAAAGCAGAAGAGATAAAAAATGAGCAATACCCTCGCCGGGAATCGAACCACGGACCTTTCGAATACGTGCCGAGTGTGCTGGTCATTACACAACGAAGGCATGCTAAGAAGGCGGCAGAAATACCTTATAAGCTGTTCCAATCTAAGCATTTATTCAAAATATATAATATTTACATATAAATTTTTAGTCCAAAGGGGCGGTAGTCCAAAAGAGCTATTAATCTCAAAACGGCACGTTCCATTATAAATGGCAAATAACTTTTTAAATTGTTGCCATTATATATTATTGCCCTGCATTATATTTAAAGAAATTAAATAATGAAAAATCTGCAGGAATGTATGTATCTTCCTCGCACTGTGAAAAAGCAAAGGTACCTAGCGTCATCAAATTATGAATAACGTAGTCCTCCACCCGAGCATGGGGCCCTGGAAACCCGAATTCGGAATATTTTTTAATTGCTTATTTTATATTTTGTAAAACTTTAACGAAATTTTTGATTAACAAACTCAACGATTTCAAGGCGAGCAATGTTAACACTGTACGGTAAAAAACATTATAATTTCCAGCGCGCGAGATTGTCTATCGGAAATTCTAAAGATATGCTATTTTTAAATATTTTGCGATGATATTGCTGTTGAATTGAATTTTATAACATTTAAGTGCGAAGAACGTGATATTTAATAAATTAAGGTAACACACAAAACATTAAAATAAAGCTCCTTTGGGAGTAATATTTTTTTTTTTTTTTTTTTTTAATTTATGAAATTGACAAAGTGCAGATTCATTACTTTACCCTCTAAAGTCCTTTTTACCTTTAAACAGAGGAACAGTTTTCATACAGTAAATATTTTAGACTTTCTCTACATTAGAAACTGAGAGTATAACTGTTTTTGGCTTGGATTGGTTTATTTGATTATTACAAAGCACTCGAGGGCTATGTGAAGGAGGGATGCCTTTGTGGAGGCACTTTTTAAACGAAACTGTCTCTTATACACGTTGCACATCGGGATATCCATGGAAACGTCCATACAGCCATGTGTCTCCCATAACTCAAAAACGAGTAGCCTCAGAACGTTGAAATTTTGTATATAGAACTGCTAGTTGTGTACCTCCCTTTCTGATTGAAATTAGCCGCACCAGAAGTGTATATATATATATGTGTGCCCAGTCTGTTACACGGCTGTGTCAGCTGATTTTTTTATTCTTGTATTTTGGTAAATTAATTTTTTGGTTTAAAAATATTGAATTATGTTGTTCTTATCTTTCGGTTAAGGTTTTTATGCCTTTAGGTAATCTACATGTAATAGCTGTAGAATTGCCAACAATTTAAATATTGTTTAAGTGCCGCTAAGCCTACTTTTTATTACCCTAGCAGCCATATTTGTTTACATTTGAAACTTAGCAGAATAGTGAATTCAGTTTCTGTACCTTCAGTGTCTTTTTGAGCGCTCTCGAATACATTTGAATGATTTTTTTCTTTCCCATCACAACTGAACTTGCGGACAAAATAAAGGACTCGTCTTTCCAAAATGGATTTAAAATGGACTCAGAAAAAGTTTTTTTTTTTTTTTTTTTGTGTGGTGTGTGTGTGTGTGGTGTGTGTTTTGTGTGTGTGTGATGTCTGTACGTACGTATGCATCTCGCATAACACAAAAAATGAGCAGCCGTAAGGACGTTGAAATTTTGTACATGGGATTACTATAAGATCTAGTTGTACACCTCCCTTTGTCGTTAAAATTATATATATATATATATATATATATATATATAATGTAAGAAAGACAAACTAACTAAACTTATATTTATATTCCCACTTTATTACCCGCTTCGCTGACCTCAGTATTTGTATTCTGATATATTGGTAAATTCTGGGTTTTTTGCTTTAAAAATAGTTGAATTATGTTGTTCTTACGTCTCCGATTAAAGTTTTTATGCCGTTAAAGTTTTTATGCTTTAATCTGCATGCAAGAATTGTACAATGATCAACAATTTAATATACCGCTAGGCGTAAGGAGGCCGCCATTTGTTTACCTTTGAAACTCTTAAGTAGAATACTGTATTAAGTAAGTTGGCGCACCAACTTGAGTGTCTTTTTACAAGCGCGAGCGAAAGTTAACTTTCAGTTTTGTGCACCGAAAATTTTGTCTTTATACCCGTTGGTAGAATTGTTTGTTTTTGCCTACAAACTAATTGTAAGACCAAAAATTGTTTTTTAAACTGTTTTTAACTGTGTATCGCGTTTTAGGTTTTTCTGTATTTTACAATTTTTACTGATGATGTTTTCAGTTTTCATGTATTTTCGCCTTGCCGCGAAATGAGAACTGAATTGATTGCATGGGAAACATATCTCTAACGAAATTATAGGAAACAAATTTAGTGCAGAAAAAAGTGTGTTTAATTTACTAGGCCGTACAAGTACAACCTATGTGGTAGCAACGTCGGATATTTTATTTTAAACTAAGTGATTCAGTGATTAAAATTTAAATAAACTTTGTTAGTTATTAGTCAAAAGGGGCAATTTGCCGTGAAGAAATATTAATTTCGTTTTTTTGAATTTTACGTTGAAAACTTTAAAAGGCTGTATCACTTTTAAAATCGTTGCCAGAATATATTATCGCTCTGTCTTATATTTAAAGAAATTAAACAATGAAGAATCTGCATAAATGTGCGTATGTGTCTCGCATTGTGATAAAACAACGGTACCTAGAGCCATAAAAACTTGAATAACCATAAAATATGGGCATGCGGAAGCCCTAATTTGAATTAGAAATTTGTTTTCTTACCGATTTCAGATTTTATAACACTTCAACGAATTTTTGATTAAAAAACTAAACGATTTCAAAGCGAGCAATGGCAACACTGTACGGAAAAAAAGAAATCTTTCAGATTTTGTTTTTAGTCCAGAGCGGCATTGTCTCTGAAGGACTATTGTTTTCGTTTTGCGATTTTGCGTTGGTTCACTATAAGTGCCCGTTTCACTTTTCAAACTGTTGCCACCAAATGTTAGAGTCTTGCATTATATTTGAAGAAATTTAAAACAACGGTACATAAAGACATCGAATTTTAAATGACGTAATCCTATTGTGAATTTGGGCATGTAGAAGCTCAAATTTGAAATTTGGACTTTGTTTTATTATCAATTTAATATTTTGGAAATATTTAACAAATTTGTGATTAACAAACTCAAGGATTTGAAAGCGAGCAATGGCAACGTTGTACAGAAAAATACATTTTTATCTCTAGCGCGTGAGACTGTGTATCGGAAATTCTAAAGATATGCTCAATTTAAAACTATTTTGCGATATTGCTCTTGAACTGAATTTTATGGTTTAATTGCGAAGAACGTAACTATCAGACAGACAAACAACAGACAGTAACAGACAAAATGTTAAAGAAACGCCCTTTAATCTGAAACCTTTCAGATTTTTTTTTTTTTTTTTTTTTTTTTGTGATTCTAATGCTGTTACTTTGCATTGCAATAAATTTATGACATTCTTCCTTTATTTATTATTGCCATCGAAATAGTTTTTGAGACTGACTATTTCAATGCGAAAAGCTAAAAGGAAAATGGAATATATCGAAAGTCCAATGTGAATTAAACATTTATTTTTGTAAGTTTCAAAATTCATGGAAATAGATATCCGTTCTCCATAAAACCAAACTTTCAAAAGATTGGTTTTATTGGCGTTAAGCCAGTCCTTTGATGCATTTTGTTTCGCTTATGGAATTGCGATTTGTTGTTTTGTTTGTGTATGATGTATGTTATCTCGCTGAAGCGGAAGTTGTGTAAGGCTTGATATATGTTCATATTGCTCCTTTTTACTGTTTTTGTCATTTGTTTTGATGAAGGGCCACCAAAACGGAAGGAAAATATCATTTTTTGTGTTCTTATTTCCAGCTGATGGTCCATCTTAATGGTGGACATGTTCTGTTCGACAATGATTCACGCTAATCGATTGCAATTCTCTCGATAGGAACGTGTTTTCCTCATTTTTATTTCATAGAACAGAGGAAAAAGCTGCTTTTTATTCTTTTAGAACATGCTAGGTACTGCTGCAGTAAATAAATTTTTTTAGCATTTTCTTTTACGTTGTTATGATATTTAGAACATTAGAATGGCAGAAAACAGATTCAGAATAATCAGAAGAATCTCAATGCTGTTAAGAAATTATGTCTTTTTTTAATTTCAAAATTTGCGTTTTTTGAGGTCATTTTCAATTTGCTTTGAGAGATTGGTTAATTAAAATAATTCGGAGAAATGCATTTAAATTACATGCAGCGAAAACTATGTATAATTTAATGGGTAGTACAAGGAAGTCACGTGATGTTCACATCAGATTTTTATTTTAAGCAATATATAACAATTAAACTATTTTTTTTTTTTTTTGTACATAACCTCTAAAACCCAAATGATTCTAAGCATAGTACGTAACATAGGGTGACAGAAACAGATAAAAAAATGCTACATGCATTTTAATTTATATCAATTAGGTAATTATTAGAAAATTAGATAAGAATAAATTAATTATTAGAAAATTAGATAGGAATAAAGTAATTATTAGAAAATTAGATAA